CAAGCACTTAATGACCACAGCTGGTAATCATGATCTGAAAGGGAAGACTGCAGAACAAAGAGGAACCCTCAAGCACACCTGCGTGTGACCCCAGCGATGGGCTTCATGTGGGAGGACACAAATTCGCTATCCATGAGGCACTTTCCATGCACAACATTCCAAAATGGGAAATATAAACAAACAAACAAATAAATAAATGACAATGCTTGTGTTTCTGTTTCCCTTCCTCTAGAACTCCCACCTCCTACTTCCATCCTCTTAATGGTAGGAAGGCAGAAAACATCAATACACAGGCTTTGTTACAGAATTCACAGACTTTGTGCCAGTAAAAGAAGGTGGACTTGCCTATGTCCTCCTTCCCCTCGAGTTACTGAACAAATATCCTCCCCTCACTCCTTGAGAGACAGACAACTTGTATCTGGTTCATGTATCTCTAAAAAGCAATAAAAAAGTGTCCTCCTTTCATCTAATTTACTTCAAAATTGCCACTCAACCTGCACTGGTGTTCTTATTTGCAGTAAGTGACTAATCGACACAACTATCTAGGGCCTAGAAAATGTATTTTAAAATACCACCTTGGAAGAGAGGAGTCTGAATAAAATTGAAATAACTGAAAAATGCTGAATAAAAAGGAAGAAAAATATGTCACATCCCATTTCCACACAGCTATTAATTAAAAAATGTTAAACACCATCATTGATAGGAAAACCCCACATCTTGTAGACAGAGTCCGGTTAAAATAAAATAAAAATTAAATTAAATTAATAATCCAGTCAGTAAAGATAAGTGTTTTCATCAACACAATTTTACCAAGTACCCACCTAACTCATCATCTCTCCCTTCCCACACAACTCCCCAGTCAGTGATCAAGAGGAGAGATAAAAACCTTGAATTTTCACCTGGCTTGAGCTGAAAGAAAAAGTAGTTTTGGTTTTCTTGTAGGGGACAAAAGTCATCTATGTACCTACCACAAAAACAGCAAGCTACTGAAGTAGGAGTTTTCTTCTGTTGTCTGGATAAGTCTTTTATGATAATTTTATTTAGGAGATAAAAATGATTCAACATCAGAGAGACACATAATGTGTGTTTTTGTACCTTTGTCAACAAACAGAACAAGGAGAGGACACCTAGTGGTGGTCTGTGATAGGGCTGGCGGAATGGGAGCCACAGATGAAATCTTCAGTGCAGGACCTGATTCGGCAAAGCTCTCACACATTTCAGTTTTAATCACTTTAGTAAGACTTCCAGCAAGTGCTTATTTATGCGATTTTCTGAACCTGCATTACTGCGGTTATCAGAAAAAACCCAGCAATTTTGGAATATGGCATGTCAGTGTGAGATGCCCAGGAGTGTGTTTTGTTAAACACCAGAGCTTTACCAGCTAGAGTGGATATTGACACTGATGTTATTTTCATGAAACACAAAAAGGTTTGGCAAATTAAAAACCAGATTTCAGTACAAGTTAAACCAAAATAAGACATGGCTGCAATTCACAATTTTTGCACATTTTGCCACGGGATCCTTTGCAGAACATAACCTTTGTTACATAACTTGCAATAAGTATTGATTCTCTTTAAAAATGGTTCTAGTTCTACATAATCAGACATCTCAGAACAAAAAATACTTAGGGCATATTTTTGGAAGAATCTATTTACTTGTAGATTTACTAGGTCTTGTCTGTGTTTAGAGCTGTAAACAGTGATATTGAAGTCTGGGTTCTACACAGTTTTTGGAAAATATTCATATTTTAAAGAGCCAGTAAACTAGTATCGTAGGCAAATGTAAAGCAAAGTTGACGTGGAACAATGTATTTATTTTAATTGGTTGTATCTTTTATTTTAATTGTTCACTGATCTATGAGCATATTTACCTAAGAATAATCTACTAGTTGAATGTAAGCCTATGTAAAAAAAAAAACATTCAAGAGTCAGAAGTTTAGGTAGTCTCATAAAACTTAAAGGAAATAAGAATTAGGTCCAGATTAAAAGAAAATAAATAAAAATCCTAAACAGGCTCCCTGTCAGAAATTACTGCAAAATTATAATTTCTGTAATCGCAAATTTAAATATAAATTCTTTTCTTGCAAATAATTTAGTTTAAGTAAATATATGATCTATTGTCAATATCTGTGTCTAAAGGACTCGAATATTAGAATTTGTAGCTAAAAAGCAGTTTCAGGGAAGAGTGAATTTGCATATTCAGTACATTATTTCCTGCCCACACATCTCCTGTGCCTTTCTTGAAGAGTTTCTTCCCATTTCCACTGCACCATTCATTTGGGTAAGTAATTAGCATCAGACTGATATGAATATATCAATCAGTTTTCATATATATTCTACCACAGGCTATAGCTGTTCCATAACACTTAATGAGGAGAAAGCTTCTGCAATGCATACATTATTTACCTCAATATTACTTTAGGTGGCTGCTGGCAGCTTGATCTTAATTTAATTGACTTAGATGATGTGGAAATAAAGAAAAGGAACCATGTTTCACCAGCATCATGTAAGAATCTTTCAAATTTTTGCCTGCTCATCTTAAAGCTCAGGATATCAACCACCTGAATTCCAGATATGTGATATCTAAGAAAGAAAAGCTCAAACAATGTCAGCCTGCCTTTTTTCTTTGAGGATATAGAAATACAGGGATAACTGCCTTATCATCCAGTTTGTTTGTCTGTACATCAGTTATCCATGAATAACAGTTATCCAAGTATTCTCTTGGCACATTATGAAGAATGAGTTTGCTGGCTGTCCTCTAAATATTTTTTACATAATGCTTATTATTCTGGAACCAAATACATATATTTCAGATTTATCTGCACCACATTTAAAACTAATGTGCCAGCTCATATGCAAAAAACTATGAAATCCTTTTAACCAAACACAAAAAGGCTCCAGTTGTGTGCCATAAAATTAGAGTTGCTCCTTGCTGTCCATGTGCAAACACACACACAGAGAACACTAAGATCAGCACCAGTCTCACTGACTACCCCATAGGATCATCCACTTATTGTTTCCCAGTAATTCAGCAAATGTCATCCCTAACCACTTGTTTTGTGTCTATGTTTTAAAACATTAAGATATTGAAACACACATTTTCCACAAAGCCAGATATGAAAATCCATGACCTTCTGCATTTCTGATCTCTGCAGAACACTAAACAAAAATAAAAACAAACTAACAAATAAAAAAACTACCTTTTTCCTGTCACACATTTAATTTTGGGATTTATCAGAGCCTGATTCAGACTATGTATTTCGCTATGCTCTTGCATGTGAGAATTGTTTTTCAAAATCAGCCAAAGAACTTTTTGATGCTTTATTACAGGCCAAAATAACCCCCAAAAAAGAAAAAAAGCCGTCTCTTTTACCTTCCTGTGAACGTATTTCATAAATTTTACTAGTGGAATTAAAGATGAATTTGCAATCAAAAAGCCATTAGCTAAAGATAAACGGAGCAAACAGCAGCTACTGCTGATTTGGGCCATATACTCTGGTCACTTTTAGTCCCACTTAGTGGCCAATTCAACCATTTTTTATTTAGAATACTTGATTTCTGTTTGACAACGGACAGAAGTGGGGGGAAAAAAAGGAATTAATTTCTCTGCTTAGTAGGCCTCTACAGTGGCAAGCGACTAACTCAAGCTGCCAGAAAATAATGTCATTGAATTCATTGCAGAAGGTTGTCTCTCTGTGAAGCACAGAGGAGACAAAAGCACAGCTTTATGGTAGAACTGCAAAATATGCTTAATCATTTGCCTTCGTTGAATTGAGTACAAAACTACAGTCTTCTATTTCTGTGCAAAAACATCTTTTCAGTGCTTTACAGAGAGGCAAAAAGAAGTAGCTTTACCAAATAGAGCCATAAAGAATAATGACCTATATCAGGGGCTTTTCGAGAAACTACTATAAATTTTTTAGACTTTTGATATTTAGCATCATCCAGCATCATACCATTTTAAATTACAATCTGACTTTATTTGAGATAATTCTGCTTTTAAGTTTCTCTTAAACCAGAAAGTGCGTTTTATACTAGAGATAACCAGCCATAAAAGTACCAAAAATGGTACCAAATTGTCCTTCAATATTCATTTAATTGAATAAACCTTTATCAAACAGGTAAAAAAATATGCAAATCTATTTTAATACTGCTTTCATGATAATGCTCTACAAAGTAATTTTCCTTATGCTTACTGCTAGAAAGGTAGAAAAAAACAGCAGTTATTTTTTCTATGGCTTTAGCACTTCTGTTTAAAACACATGATGATATTCAGAACTACAGAAATGAGGACAGGCAAGAAACAAAATGGTGGTATGTGCCAATGCATTTAACATTTCCTAGCCATGAATATGCCTAAGTGGGGAATGCCATAATCTCCTGGACAAGTCTCTATGCCAAATTGACAGGCAGCATAACATCATGTCTGGAAATCGTGGAGTTGAATGCTTAGAAGTCAGTGACTCAAAACTGCCCATTTTTCATAAAGAAGGCCAATATTTATGACACTCAGCTTACATACAGCCTTCAAACAATGAGCATTCTAGGAAACCTACTCCATGGTAAATGGTTTCAATTTCTTCTAAGATAGAAAAATATGAAGAAGTTTAAGTTCTCTGTGACTACAAGAGTATTAATAAATTCAAGTGCTAGTCACCAAACTCTAGTGCAGGTTTAGGTGGTTGTTAAAATTGCTAGTATTCCTTTCTAGAGACTTATTCTGATCATTTGGACATTTGGTAACATCATTAGGAGTCCATCAATGTGTGTACCAATGCCAAACATATTTTGGTCTCTGCCATTAGCAGAGGGAAGATAGTTACTCCCTGCTGGTTTTTTTCTAAAAAGGCCTCGCCATATTTGCACGTGTTTGTAATTACACCAGGTAGTGATGAAAACCTGTATTACATTCTTGTTCCAGTGCAGCTCTTCACAGAGATTTAATAGTGTTGGGTAGGAATAAGGTCTTAGTGAATGGTGTTATAATCATACAAATCTTACCTCTTCCCACTGGTGTATGTATCTAATCAATCTTGAAAGACGCAATAAACGTAACAGGCTGAGGATTTTTGTAAATCTCACAATACGAAGGGCTCTTGCTGTCTTGTAAACCTCTGAATCCATTCCTTTTTCTACAATGAGAAAGATATAATCCACTGGTATTGATGAGATGAAGTCAACCACAAACCAGCTTTTTAAGTAATTCATCTTAATGATTTTAGGGTCCAGTATTATTTCAGAGCTGTCCTCGTTTACAGTCCCAGTTCTAAAATTCATGATCAAGTCCAATAGAAAAACAGTGTCTGATGCCACATTGAAAATAATCCATGGTGTCGTTGTTTGTTCTGTGAAGAATGTGATTCCGACTGGTATAATGACAAGGTTTCCAACCATCATTATGAGCATGATTAAGTCCCAGTAAAACCTAGGAAAAAAAGGAAGAAAGAGAGTGGTTGATGTAATGTGGTAAAACATTACAAAATGGCCACTATCACACTGCCAACTTCACCACCAGATTTTATTACTAAGGAAATTCTTATTGATTTAACTCATTCAGCATATCCATGATCACTGAAGACAATGTAATTAACACACTTCATTATGTACCTTCTGTCTCAAAAATATGCATGTAGAATGAAGGCATTACTATGGCTTATCACTCCATGGTATATCACATATACATGGTATATCACGTATATATATGGTATATTGAAAGGTGGGCATGTGTAGGTAGCACTGAGCAGACTTATCCAGACTCCTGTCAAAACCTTTGTGCTTTTATATAGATAAAAATGATGTCTTGTGCCAATCAGAAGTGCTTTAGCAATGCAACAATTTTACTAAGATTTCTGTCCACATGGAAAGCCAAATAGATATATTAAATGTCAGTATCTCTTTTCAAATGTACTGATACCATTACAGTGCTGGAATAAAATTACAGGAAGATGAAAAAAGAACCAAAGCAAAAAATAGAAACAATAATTAGATAACATAAAAACCTTCATCCACTTTTACAACCTTAATTGAACTTTCATGCATTTTTACAACCTCACAGTCTATCTTCTTTCAAAGCTGGCTAAGAAATGTTAGAAAAAATAGCTGCAATTTGCATAGCAATAGAAAGGGATACTGCACATCACCATTTTGCTCTGGAAGGATCTAAAGGCTCCCCTCTCACACTGTTAGAATAGTAACCATGCTTGACAGAATGTGGTAGAGAGACAGACTCAAAACTCTAGTATCTGTGATGGCAATGCTGAGTAAATGCACCCATTACATAGAATATCTATCTTGATGCAAGATTTTCAAGGGACAGCAGTACATACCAGATTTTAAGCAAATTGCGATAAATCCTAAATGTTTAATAGTCAGAGAAAGCTGACTATTTTTATCTATATTTTGTATCTATATTATATATAGATATAAAATATATATATTTATCTATATTTCATATATAAATAAAATATAGTCATATCTATATATGACTATATTTTATCTATCATTTTTATCTATATAAAATTTCAGTAAAAGAACCGAAACAGAACTCAAGAAATCCTGAACTCAATGCATAATCTCTTACTCTATTCAAGAACATGATCTGGTCAACTAAAATTGATCTGGAGAGGTACAGAAACCAATCAACAACAGTTGCCCATGGACTCACTGGTGTTTCTGGAAGAGTAGAGGCAGCACTGTCTCCAGAACTATTCCCCTGCTCCATCCCTCTGTCACAATGCGCCCTGGTGCAAGGGACACACCACCAGCACATCACTTCAATGCTGACTTCCAGGCTACTTCCATCATACTAACACCAGCCTCCTGACATGCAACACTCGTCTTGGTAAAGGCTCATGGCAGCCAGCAAAAATAATAGTTTAACTGGCCACAAAACATTTCAGAACCACAAGCCTAGTTTTTGCTAGGCCTGCATAGAGAGAATATGGATTACATTAGACTTCAGGGATTGCTTCTTGTGTTACCAAATGATCATAAAAACACAGATTGGTCTGGGCAGAAAGGGATGTCAAAGATCATGCACTTCCAGATCCTGTGCCATAGGCAGGGACATCTTCAACTAGACCAGGCTCCTCAGAGCTCCACCCAGCCTGGCCTTAAACACTTCCAGGGATGGGGCAACCACAGCTTCTCTGGGAAACCAAGAGCCTCATCACCTCCACAATAAAAATCTTTATGTAATATCTAATGTAAACCTCTTTCTGTTTGAAGCCATTTCACCTTGTCCTATCACTACATGACCTTGAAAGAAGTCTCTATCCATTTTTCTTGTAGGCTGCCTTCAGGTACTAAAAGGACACAGTTAGGTCACACCAAAACCTTTCCTTCTCCAGGCTGAACAGTCACAAAGATCTAGCTTTTATAAATTACCTTTTTTTTTTTTTCATGTCTATCTTGGAAGCAAATACTTCTAAGTTTACAGAGTGATCATCAAAGAATATAAATTATTATCTGTAACTGTAAAACATGCTAAAGGAAAAGCAGCATAGGATTGAGAACAGCATGAGAATTCCCAGTTTCAAAATCATTTATTCCAAGAGACGCCTAGAGAGATTAGATTTAACTATCATTTGAGAGAAGAGAGCAGTTGGTAATGTGACTCTAACAGGTATTCAGAAACTCCATGAAATAGACAATGAAAATTATTCCCTGTATACTACAATGTGATTTGTGCCCTACACATTTTCAGTCTTGCAATAAATGTGAAACTAACTGCTAAAAATGTTCAGTTTTATTCAGGCTGTATGTATTTTTGTTCAGCACATGATAGTATTCACCATATCTGGAAAAAAAATTCCCAATTTCTCCTGTCTTTTTTAATTCCTGTAATACTTCTCACTGTGCTAGATTCCTTTTCAGTAATCTGGAATTCCTTTTCCAATAATCTGGATTTTCCACAAGGAACTACTAAATTCATACATCACCGCCACAGTGATCTACAAGTAAAATTACCACAAACACTTTTAAAATGCCATCAACCAAAGTACTTCACAAAAGTACTCTGAGAGAATAAACATCTTCAAGGAATACTTACAACTAGCCGAAAACAAATAGGAAATGATTTTGAGAGGTGTCCTAGTACCTGTGGCTCACTCCTAAGGAAAATCATTGCTAATTTCAGATTGACCTTTACATTCCTCTAGCACAGGGAGCAGTGCAATAAAGGCTAACCAAAGCCACACCACAACCAGCCAGCCAGCCAACATAAGAGGTAATACAGAAACAGGTGTTTTTAACCTACGGTAATCCACAGATTAAAGGATCATCACCAATCGTGATTATGCAAAACACACTGGTGTTCCTGATGCTGAATGTCAACAGAAGTGGTGGCATCAGGGCTAAAATAACGTTGACTGCTAAGAACTTTTGTATTTTAGCCCACAGCATAATACAAGCTGATTCACTGGTAAGAAAAACCCTTATTATTTTTCATTTAGAAATGACTCAGACATTTTCTTTTAGGAAAATGTTTCCAAATGCCATTCTGTTGGCCATGCTTTATTTTATTTCAGGTGAGAAAAACTAGATGCAACTGCCTGTATTGCCCTTCTTTGACCTGTGCAGAGAAAGTAATACAATGCGTTCCTTGCCTACAGTTCAGAACATCCTACTATTCACGTAACAAGGAAGAAGCTGTAAAAATCTCACAAGACACTGCAAGGAGCTGCCACTGACACACTGAGATAGCTCCTCATTTCAAACTACTTTTAGGATTATTTACTTTTTTTTTTTTTTTTTTACTTCCCCCTACCCCAGGGAAGATGGTTATGAGTCTACAATTTATAATCTCAGGAGTTCCACATTTATGTAAGGTATAAAATCCTGATGAAGAGCAAGGAAGAGGTAGGCTTCTGACACAAAAATTTCGAGAATGAGGGAAAAAAGCAAGAGTCTGGGGGTGTTGAGGTCTTCCAAAGCTCAAAATGAGAAGCAAGGACTGACCTTAACCCCATAGCAAACAGCTATAGAGCTTATTGCTCACCTGAAGCTAACTCAGTGAAGCTACTACTAGATGCCACAAACAGAGAATACAGAGGTCATCACTGCACTGCACTGAACTATTCCTGAAGTTTTTTAAATGCATCTAAATGTCCCAGAGAGATAACAGTTCTAGGTAAAAAAAAAAAAAGTCTTCAAATATTAAGGTATAGGCACAAAAAATGTGCCCATCTTGAGGCACATTTTTTTCAAAAATTTAAAATATCATTCTATACAGAAATATTTAAAAAAGCCCCAACATACTAATTACTAATTTGGAATTCTCAAAATGGTTTCATAGCCCTCTTTCAGTGATCTTTTCACTCATAGCTTATTTACTACATTTTTAAAACTTAGAGTAATAACAGTGTTTTTTCAGCTCTGGAATATGGTGCTGAAGTGTTGGTGTTTTATTCGCTGCCACAGGCTGTCCTGGATAGGATGAACAGCCTGCTCAAAATGAGTGCCTACCCAAGCAGCAAGAAAGAGTTACTTAGTACGAATTAATCACTGTTTGTATTCTTAATAATGTAAGACGCTATGAATTCTAACAGGCATTTTATTTTCCACTTTATATCCCCAATCCAGAGAAAAATGGAGTCTTAAGGAAGGAAATTTCATCTCTGAGTTAATTCACTGCATAATTTTCTCTACATACAAATTCAGATTTGCTTGTTTTATTATTTCCTTTTTCTGCCCATCAACAGCAGAGTCTCAATTTCCTTGAATCAGCATAGTTTGAGATATGATCATCCACACCTACACCCAGACTGAACCAGCAGAGCTGTCAGTGGTCTCACAAGCCACACAGCAGAGCGAGTGGCATCTCTCAGGCACTGTGTGGTGTGAGTGGAGCTGCAGAGCAGTCAGGGCTTTGCTCAAGTTTACATTTTCTCAGTTTCAAGAAAAATTGTAAAAATTCTGATCTTTTATTAAAAAGGAGCAAATCCTATCAGTAAAACTTCAGGAAATTCAGTCTAAACACTGAAAATAAATACTCATCCTCATTATAAACAGGAAGGCCATTGAAAAAGATACTAGGTCAGACTCCTTGTAAAATACCTCTGAAGCAAAACTAGAGGCATCACAGATTAGGCTTTCGAACCTCAAATATAACATGATTTCACTCTACAAATTCAGAGAATCAAGAACAGTAAAAAATTTCACAAGCTGTTGTAGAAAACTTGCTTCTTCTTTAGCTAAACGTTGTGATTGACTAGCAGATGATCAGTGAAACGAACACCGACTTTCCTTTTTGCTTTTTTTTTTGTTGTTGTTGTTGGATTTTTTTAATCTCACCTTCAAACACAGCTTTGTTTCCTTTTTTTTCATAGATTACTGGTTCACCTTACAGAGAAATCTATATCCTATATAAAACAGAACAATCTTAACAGAAATAACAGTAATTTTAAATCTTATTGTACTGTATGG